ATAAAAAAAAAAATTTTGAATTTACTTACTTATAGCCAGAGTTAGAGGCGGTCGGATACTTATGACCGCTACTGTATTTTCAGTTATATTCAGACTTTCTAAAAATTTTTCTTTTTCTCATAAAATATTATTTGATAAAATCATATTTTTTGATAATGTCTATCTTATCTAAATAAAAGTATTTATTTAAATAAGAGATATTTTACTTTATGATACTTATAAATCAGAACTGAAGTATTTATAATAGAAAATTATTATTTCTTTTCTTTTAAAATTTTACTAATAGTTGATTTTTTGATATTAAGATTATAAAGTTAATTAAAATATACTATAATATTTATATAAGATATATACAGATTTTTAGTTTAATAATTACAAATTTCATATTTTACTTCATTATTTATTGCAGTTCTTTTTTAAATCAATATTATTATTATATTATAAAGATTATAAAGAGAATAAAAAAAGATAGTATTTATTAAAAAGAAAAAAATCATTTGCAAATATATACAATTTTCTAATTATATTTATTGATCATAATATGCAATATCTCATATATAATATTTTATGCAATATCATGTGTCATGTAATAATATATAGTTTATTTTATAATAATCTAAACCTAAAATTTTTTTTACTAGTAATAATGATTAACATATAAAAAGTATATTTTGATTTTAAATTTTAAAATTTATTAATTATATATAAGATGTGATTATATAAAAAGTAATTGTAATCAGATTTAACTATATTTTATTATAAAAAAAAGATGAAATTATCAAAAAAAAAATTTACTATTATATATTAATATAATTTTTTAATAAAGTTTAGTTTAATAAAATTCAAAATAAATTTTTAAAATTTTTTATTTTTATTATAAAAGTATTTTATATAAGATATAAATAAATTATATTATATAGTTAGCTAAATTTTTTTATATGAAATGATAACAACTAATCATATTTTATTATATAATAAATATAAAAAATTAAAAAAGTATACAATGAGTTATGATTGACTGAAACATTTTTATATAGCATACTTTATATTATAACTACTAAATTTATAAAATTTATAAAGTATTATTAATTTATATAATTTTAAATTTTAAAATATTTTATATTAGAATTAAACATAAATAAAAAATTTACAATTAGAATAGATTTGAATTAAAGTTATAAATTTGTTAATTAGATTTATTATTAATTTTTAATAATATAATTTAATATAATTTTAAAGTGTTAAATCTATATTGATATAATTTGTTAAATAAGTTAAATTTATTTATTAAAATAGAATTATTCATAAAATTTAAATTTGATATTTATTTACAAAAAATTAATTTTTTAATCTTATCAATTTATTAATTGAATACTAATTTAAAAAAACAATTTATTATATAATATAAATATTAAAAAATTTACAGCTATAATTTATTATTTTTTTCAAGAATAATAAATATAGTCAACTCTTGATATAGCGAACTCTTGATATAACGAATTTTTGAACAAATATAATAAAATACTCTTGTTATAGCGAATTAGTCAATCAAATCTCTTAAAATCTTCACTATAGCCTTATAGTAAAGTTGAGGTCTAGGATATAGAGTTCATTATAATAAGAGTTGACTGTATATATAATAAATATAATTTTAAGAATTTTATTAATCTTGTTATATCTGCTTTAAACAAATTTTATTTAATAATTATACTTTAAAAAACTTATTTAAATAAATAAATAAGGTAATTATTTTATATTAAGTTAAAAAATAAAATATACTTTATTAAATCTATCTGAATAAAAATTCTTATTTAGTAAAATAACTATGAATCTAAGTAATATAATCAGATAATTTAGATCATATTTTTTTTAAACAGATCTAATCACTAGTTTATATTATTTAATATATATATTTATCACTAATTATTAAAAGAATTTATATTATTTTTATATGAAAATTTTATACTTTTAAATTATAATATTTTTTTTTAAGATTTTAATAATTTTTTTTTTAAACCTTTAACTTTTTAATATTTTTTAATTATAAAATTATTATTACAAATTATTTTTTTTAATATAATATATAACTTTTAAATCTTAATAAATTTATATATATCATATTAAACATTTTGCAGTAAAAAGAAAAGAAATATCAAAAAAATTTTTTTTATACTTTATAATCTAAATATTATTTTTTTAGTAAAATAAATCCAGATTTAACTTTAACTCAAAAAAAATTTTTTTGGTAATTTCCTTTTTTTTTATTGCAAAAAATTCATATAACTTGTATTTATATATCTTATATTTATTAAGAAATTTTTTTTAAATAAAATATTATTTATTTTTATTATTTTATTTATATTTTTTAATTTATTTCAAGTTAAATATTTTAAAGAAATTTAAGAGTAATTAAATATGAATAATAAATAATTGAGTAAATTTATTCATCGCGGGAGGCGATACTCTTTATACATCATCTTTATATATAATATACCTTACCCTAATCCTAATCCTAACCCTAACTTAACTCTAAACCATGTAACACTAACATATGTGACAAATAGGATTTCACATATGAAAAAATTTCTAAGTTTCTAGAATATATATGAAAAATGAAAAAGGGAGTGATGTGACATGAGTGACAAGAAGAAGGTGATGATATCATATCTGCAATGAATAAATTTACTCTAAATAATTTACATATTAATAAAATCTAACCATAATATATAATAAATTATATAATTTATAATAAAACCAAATTGATAATATGAATTTCTTGATAAATAAAATATCCAAAAAAACTGCATAAGAAATAGCAATATTTCTATTATAATAAAATTAAAAATTATTATTCTTTTTAATAAAATTTCTAAATTTATATTATTAATTAATATAATTATAATATTAAATAATAGTAATAATAGTTAAATAAAAGTTATATATAAAATGATCATCAATCTATTATTAAAATTAATTATTTTAGTAATTTCAGCATGTTTATGATTTAAATGTAATCTTAGCATTTAAACGAATTTTTTATAATTAATACAATATTAAGATTAATTTAAGTAAAAACTTAGTTTCATTTTTGCCTAAATTATTTATTATAAATTATTATTTTGAAAACTAGATAACCTTAATTAAACTATAAAAACTTTTTAAGGATTCAAAGCAAGTATATCTAGAGGAAGCATATATGGAGATTTTCTGATGACATTGAAATAGAATTAATTTAGAATAAAAGGAATTGAAAATTTACAATTTTTAATACGTAAAAAAAATAAAAAAAATAATAATAATTTAACTTACATGAACGGTTTTCTAAGGATAAGCAGTCAAGCTTTTACATAATTTTTCTATTCTTGTACGCCCGCGTCCGTTAAGATGGCCGTTGCTCATCATCAGACAATAAACCTTACGCCATTTTAGGTAGTTTACATGTTCGGTTGAATTCAAGTGGAAGTGGTCAAAATAATTAATAATTTTATACGCGGGTCCAAAATCTACAGAATTGTAAAAACAAGGATTCCCGTAACGGACAAACCCTCCAAAGGCATCTTTAAAAGATGTTAAACCATCCCCATCCTCTTGTTCAACTTGAAATTCGAGTTTAATTTCAATATCTGGATCAGGTCCGCTCATTATTTTTATTTTAAAAGTACCGTTTGCATCACAAAATCCCGCCATCCAATAATTTAGATCTTGTAAATTAGCATCTTTAGTTAAGGCTGGTATAGGAATCTCGCTTTCCTTATTAATACGGGGAAGTATAATATCATTAAACATTTCCACCTTATCCGTTCGACATTTGCCATTTATTAAAGTCGCTATTCTCCTCATAGCATCCAATCTAGACACAAAATATATAGTGCTTTGTTCGTTAAGGCCTTTTTCGTTTTTGCGAATCTTGCCAAAACCAATTTTTTCTTTTATAAGATAAGCTAAGGGTGAATCATACTCATGGAACAACATTTGAAACTCGCCATCTGGTGTGAATATGCCTTTACCGTCAATTAGACCTGCCAAATAATACCCAAAGTCTGTATCAGTGATAGGTTTTCTATGTTTGGGTACATGAACTGAAATTTTCTTTAACTGTCGGTTTTGATCAGCTTCCTGATTATTAATATCCTCTATTGATTCGGTTTTAATCAAATTTTTTTGGTCTCCTTGATTACGAATTGATCCTGTAGATTCGGTTCTCGTAAATTTCTTTTGGTCTCCTTGATTACGAAATGATCCTGTAGATTCGGTTCTCGTAAATTTCTCTGGGTTTCCTTGATTATGAAATGATCCTGTAGATTCGGTTCTCGTAAATGTCTTTTGATCTCCTTGATTACGAAATGATCCTGTAGATTCGGTTCTCGTAAATTTCTTTTGGTCTCCTTGATTATGAATTGATCCTGTAGATTCGGTTCTCGTAAATTTCTTTGGGTCTCCTTGATTATGAAATGATCCTGTAGATTCGGTTCTCGTAAATGTCTTTTGGTCTCCTTGATTACGAAATGATCCTGAAGATTCGGTTCTATTCCATTTGCTTTGATCTTTTCCCGCTCCTTGGTTATAAATTTCTCTTATAGGTTTTGTTTGAGTCAATTTCTTTTGGTTTTGGTTCGTTCTTTGATTATTAATTTTTCCTATAAATTTTGTTTTTAACAATTTCTCTTCACCTAAATTCTTTGATCTAAAAGTTTCATTATGTCTGTAACTTAGGTTTCTTGCTGGTAAACTACAAATATTTGTCACGAAGTACTCCAAAGTTCGGTGTAATTTAAACGAATTAAAAGAATTCAAAGAATTTATAGAGCGAGAATAATTCATTTTTCATTATTTGGATAAGCCACGCAATTTTTCTTTTTAAGTTGCGACCCATATGGGTATGATCTACATGATCAAAAAGTTGAAATATTATCGTTTTCAAAAATCGAAATACCGAACACTATTTCACTTTATAATGTTGGGAATGAGGAACTAGATGGTCCGTTCAGTTATGAACAAGTTGCACGACTCAAAAGATAATAACGATGAAATTTCTAATCATAAAACGAAACGAGAGAGTAATTTTAATAGAACTCAAAATATTAAAATTTTTTAATCAAAAAAATGATATTAATACAAATGATAACTTCATCAATGTAGTTAGTAATTATAGAATTTATCTTTAATAAGTTTTTATATTCAGAAACGCGTTCGAAAATTAAATGAGTCACATGATTAATATGCATACTTTTAGAGGGGAGGAAAAAATAGCTAACAATTCGCCTAAAGACGAAATCGATTGAACTCACCAGGAATAAGATAGTCCCAACCCATACACTTAAAGGTTTTATATACAGCAAGACCGAAAATAGAAAGATTAACTATAATCTAAAATCGGAGGGTTTAACTATGGCTAATATTAATCTTAAAATGTTCAGAGGGTTTCAATCCGAAGAATCAAATGATGGGTATTCAATGATATTTAAATATTTTAGAGTTGAATTGTTCAGGTAATATGGAGTGTAAAGCGGATCATTTACGCTTACGTCTGACGGAACCCCGTCTCTCCACTGCGCAGCAAGTGGAGGTTCAATGCTAAATGACTTAATCTTCCCGGGTTCTATTAGCTGTACCAATTCCACATCTATTGGGTATACAACATTTGCAAGTTCACGTAAAAGCAGCCAAGCACCAATGAATGAGACAGCGTATGCATGAGTGCAAGACGGCCGTGTCGAAATGTATAGATTTGGATGGTTATATGGTTCTCGTAAATTTTCTTGACTACAATGACCAACATAAAGCATCTCCCAGTATCTAGGAAGATGTTGCGTTATAACTCGTAGTTGTTCTTCGATATCCATCTCCATGTCTATATCGTCTTCGAATATAAGTGCATTTTGTAATCGGTTATCAACAATCGTTTGATATACCTTTAAATGACTTAACCAACAAGCAATTGCAGCTCTGTGCAAAGTTCCATTGGTTTGTTGATAGTATGTTTCTACTTCGTTCGAGTCGGCATCGATAGCGGGGAAAAAAGTATAATCAAGGTTAAGTTGTTTAAACAATTTTGTCATTCGTTCCTTTCGATCATCTCGGCGTTCGAGATGTATCACATATATTTTGTCAAAGAACAAAGACTTATTCAGTTTTTCTTCAACTCTTTGGCAAGTTTCAGGTTTATTCTCTCTGTCATTGTTTCCTTGTAAGGGATAGAGGACAATGTAAAATAAAGTGCTTATGGAAGCCGTTAATAGCAACGCAAACAAAAATACTTTGGCCGTCAGTATGGTCATCTTTGAATACAATTTTAAATACAAATTGGCATAATTTATATCTGTTCAGATATTGGGGTGTATTACATGAAATTTCCTTTTATTTTCTTGAAATCAATCATAAAAGGCAGTACATTTAATTTGGCGCATGTACTGTACATAATATCCTTCGTGTAACGTTGTGTAATATTGGCTTAGAAATGGGCTTAAAACTAGGAAACGGACATAGTTAAATCGGTAATGATCGGCAGCTACACACAGCGTTGGCCATATTTATAATCTATTATAATAAATCGATTGATTATAATTGGTAATTTCTATTTGTATACGGGTGTATTGTACACGGGTCACGTGATACGTCCGACATTAACATTACTTTTAAATACACCCCGTGTAAACTTAGAATTTTCTAAAATTATTTATAAAATTTATTATTAATTAACTAGATTTTTTAAAAATTTTATTCTAAATGATTTTTTAGATAATTTTTTTAGATTGAATTACTTTAAATTACATATATTAAAAGAATTTATCTTAAATTTAAAGAAATATTTTAAAAAAAGAAATAAAATTAATATTTTTACTTTTAAATCAAAAAAAAAAAAAATTATAAAAAGGAAAAAATTTAAAATTTATCAATTTTAATTATAATTTTAACAAAAATTTAATAATAAATTTTATTAATTTATAATTATAAATGAATTATTTAATAAATTTTATAAGAAATTTATTATCCCTTAAACTATAAGTATAAAATTGTTTCTAAAACATTTTAGAAAACTTAAAATAATTTGATAAGTGATTGGCGTTTCTAGTTCAGTTGTAACAACTGAGCTCCTATTGTGGGTTACACTGCAATAGCCATAAGTTCAGGTCTCAGCCGAGGCATAAAACTAGATGATTTTTATAAAAATTTCATATGTAACTGAACACATGGGTATATAGACTAATATGCGTTAGAAACTGGTAGATCAATCCATTAATCTATATTGATCATACCTAAATACTGAATTTGAAGAACAAGTGGATGCAAATAAAGCTAGGAATCGACAGAAACTTGACCATCACTAATAAGTCTATAATAGATACTGTCTCACGTCTTTAAATTCAAGGACCCTACACAAGTAAGGAAGTGGTTAACCAGTAATTAGTAGATCTAGAGTATACTACAGACTGACTTGCACGTTACAGCTGTGAGTCAGATCTTGTTACCATTAGAGTTAGAGACCAGGTTCGATTTCTGGGTGAGTTTGATGCTATAGGTACAAAGCCACTATCATAAAAGAACCTGATCCCTCAATTTTAGTAGTTATTAATAGGGTAAAATCCTATATATGTTAATAAAACAGTGCATCAATCACTGTGGCTGAAGTGAGCCCTTTATCTAATTCTGGTAATCTGAGTAGAAATTAGTTAATACAGAATTTGAGATCAAAGCCAGTGACTGTTAGACTATAATACTAATAGCAATCTGCATTGTGTAGATGTATGTAACAAAATTGTACAGTGTTTATTCACGTGAGACTTAAAGATTATAGGTAAGATATTTATCACTAAAAATCTGCCTTAACCCATCTTCCAGTATATACACA